TACCCTGTCCCAAGCCCTTAAGGCTGCTGTAGTGCATATGGAGAGTGTGTTTTCATCCAAATTAGCTTGTTCCTGAGGGTCAGAAAAGAGTCCTTCACCTAGAATTTTATCTAGGGAGATGTCACTTCCCTTCACCTTTTCTTGCTGTTCTAAAAGTCTAGCCTCTTGCCTGAATAAGCATTTCCATTTTAATTGCGGCCCACTCTCAAGGACTGCAGAGGTGAGTTGAAACCAGTGCATGGGAGTAGCTCTGCTTGTGGATGCCCAAGATTTTAGCATCTCTTTAACAAAAGAGGCATGCATCCTGAAAGTCATGACAGCCTGTTTAATTTCTTTGAGATCATTCATACGGACAGGCTCCCATGTATCTTCCTTGATGACCCTAGTGTTTCTGGAACCAATCACCTTCTCTGTTGTTATTACTGGAAAGACAGGTACAGCTGTAGGTAGAGATTTGTGGAAATTGTCCCAGAGGGATTTACCCACAGATGTAGTTAAAATTTGCCTTTCTACCGTTTGTTTTTCTTCATCAGAATTTATAAATTTCTCAGTCTTTTCAATTCTATTCACCATTGCCTTCTGCAATGTCTGTATCTCCTGTCCAGAATTATGTTCCAAAGCCTTCATTGAGGATTCTAAAGTATGAAGTTTGGCCATTAGAGATAAGTTCTCATCTTTGGACATAATTTTTATGGCATAAACTGTGCATTCTTGTATTGACAATCTTTCCGCCAATCTGTCATAAGCTTTAGACAAAATTTGATTGTCACATTCAACTGTTTTAATTCTCTCCGATAATATTTCAGTCCCTTCAGAAAGTGACTGCTGAAATTTAAGATTTAAATCAGCTGTTCCTTCTTCCATAGTAATGAATTTCCCCTTAATATCAGCCACTAATGTTTCACTTCCTACAGAAAGGGATTGGAGTTTACGATCCAGCTCAGCTGTTCCCTCTTTCATAGTCATGAATTTCTCCTTAACATCCACCTGAACCTTTTCTAAAATTTTTTCAGTCACCATTGTCTTGTTAAACAAAGTTCTGTTCTCTTCCTGTAGTACTTTAAACTGATTCTTGAGAAGATCATTGTCATGCTTAATCGTTTGTAGATGTTCAACCTCTGTCTTAAGAATCCTGTATTCAGCGAAGGTAGCTGCGGAAAAGACTGAGACCCGGGCCGTTGGTGGACAGCGTAGGCCTCCCTAGGCCGCCATGAACCGGCTCCAGGATGACTACGATCCCTACGCGGTGGAAGAGCCGAGTGACGAGGAGCCGGCTCTGAGCAGGTGGGCCGCTGCCCCACGGTGTCCGCCCGGCCCTGGCCGAGGCCGTTGTGCTCGCCGCGCCTGCCGAGCTTGGGCGCACTGCCGTCCGCATCCCTTGTAGGAGCCTCGGGGTGCCTGGTGGGGCTGCTCAGTCTCTGGGGAGCCAGGATGGACAGCAGTGCGGGAAGAGGGATGTTCTGGAATCACGGGGCCCCCAAGCGTAAATCCTCAGCTGGAACCCTGCTCCTTACCGTTTGCTAGCACTGTGACTGAAGGCAGTTCTGAAGATGAAGTCGACGTGCTATTACATGGAACTCCTGACCAAAAACGAAAACTCCTCAGGGAATGTCTTACTGGGGAAAGTGAGTCATCTAGTGAAGACGAGTTTGAGAAAGAAATGGAAGCCGAGTTAAACTCCACCATGAAAACAATGGAGGATCAGTTATCCTCTATGGGGACAGGGTCTTCCTCGGGAGTTGGGCTTGTTGGAGGAGTCACAGCAAAGTACTATGATGACATTTATTTTGATTCCGATTCTGAGGATGAAGACAAAGGCAGTGAGTAACCTTTTTCTTAGTAGGTTAAATATTCCGTCTGAGTTTTATATTGTTTTTAAAATTTGGTTGTGTGATGTCTTACTCTTTTGACTGTTTGGGGCCCACCACCAGCTCCTGAGGCTTAGTCTAGTTATGAACGCCTGGCCTTAGCTTGGCTTGTTTTTTGCTAGCTATTCTTAAATCATCCCCGACCACCTTTTGCCTCAGAGCTTTTCTCTTTCTCTTACTTCTATAATCTTATTTCCACTCTTACTACATAGCTTGCTGTGACTGGCCCCTGATGTCCTCTTTCTTGTTTCTCCTTTTATTTATTCTCTGCCTGCTAGCCCCGCCTATCCTTGCCCTGCCTCGTTATTGGCTCTTCAGCTCTTCATTAGGACCATCAGGTGTTTTGGACAGGCAAAGAATCACAGCTTCATGGGGTTAAACAAATGCAGTGTAAGCAAAGCAACACCTCAAAAAATATTCCTCAACAAAATTTGATTTTATGTTAATGGGTGAATATCTGTGTGTGCACCATGTGGATTCCCTGGAATGGAGTTGTAGAGGTTTGTGAGCCGCCATGTGGATTCCCTGGAATGGAGTTGTAGAGGTTTGTGAGCCGCCATGTGGATTCCCTGGAATGGAGTTGTAGAGGTTTGTGAGCCACCATGTGGATTCCCTGGAATGGAGTTGTAGAGGTTTGTGAGCCACCATGTGGGTTCCCTGGAATGGAGTTGTAGAGGTTTGTGAGCCGCCATGTGGGGGCTGGAAATCAAGCCTGGGTCCTCTGAAAGAGCTGCCAGTAATCTTAACTGCTGAGCAATCTCTCGGCGGCTCTCTTACTTATTTTTAAGAAACTATAGACTAAGCCAAGTGTGGTGACTACACCTTTAGTCTTAGCACTCAGGGAGGCAGAGGCAGGACAGCCAGAGCTACACAGTAAGACTCTGTCTCAAAAGAAAAAAAAAAGAAAGAAATTTTATGCTGTTGATGGGGGTGCAGAATTGGTTCATAAGAAATGCAGGCGTGCAGGTATGCGTGCGCTTACAGCGGCATCCTCAGCATGGGGGCTATGGCCCTTTTGGGAGCAATCCTTTCACAAGGGCCACCTAAGACCATCAGAAAACACGTATTTCCAGTGTTCTTAGGATCTGAGACACTATGCTTCTTTATCCGCCTCCAGGCGGTACATCCACGTACCCACGGATGAGTCCCAGGTGTGATGACATCATCACGCCAAACTCCTTCATGTACACCCCAGACAAATACAAGTGTATGTGACAGGTTTGGTGCAGTGCTGTGCTTACGCAGCCTGGCCACCTGCGTAGAGAGCAGCTGACGTATTGAACGCAGCAGTGTTGGAGGCAGGACTACACTTGGTGAGTTATGATTGCTGGGTAAATGTAAAATCAGCAGGTACTGGAGAAAATCTGTACCATGGGAACTTTATCTGGTTGCTGACCAGCCTTTATAGTCAGCTATGGTTAATGTGAATACTGCCCCCTCGTGATAGTAGTGGGGATGTAAAAAACAAAACAACAAAACAGAACGGTAGAATCAAAGGAATTGTTTTTGTTTTTTGAGACAGGGCTTCTCTGGATAACGTCTCTAGCTGTCCTGGAACTCACTTTGTAAGGTTTACAGAGATCCACCCGCCTCTGCCTCCCAAGTGCTGGGATTAAAGGCATGTGCCACCATGCCAGGCCAAACATAGGAAATTAATGAACTTCATTGACTGAAATATTTCATGAGTCATCTTTTGTTTTTGTTTATTTATTTATTTGTTTGTTTTGGTTTTTTGAGACAGGGTTTCTCTGTGTACTGGAACTAGCTCTTGTAGAGCAGGCTGGCCTTGAACTCACAGAGATCCACTTTCTGCCTCCCTGAGTGCAGGGATTAAAAGTGTGTTTTGCAACTATGCAGTGAGTTGGGTACACTGAACAAAGCTCTGCTATTTCACACTAAAGTGTGATGCTTGTCCAGAGGAAAAGTTTAAAACGTGTTCTTGAGCTTTGTGATGAACTGGATTTTTTAAAGATTTATTTGCTTATGCATTCTATGTGCACGAGTGCTCTGTCTTCATGCACAGCAGAGGAGGGCGCCAGATCTTATTACAGATGGCTGTGAGCCACCATGTGGGTGCTGGGAACTGAACTCAGGACCTCTGGAAGAGCAGCCAGTGCTCTTAACCTCTGAGCCATCTCTCCAGCCCCCTCAGAAAGCAAGACTGCAGTTGGAAGCATTTTTCAGCCATGGAAGTGAGTTGCAGAAAACAGCTTACTTGATGGACGCCTTTGCCATTTTGAGTGAGTTAAATTTATCACTGCAAGGACCAAATGCAGCATGCCTTGATTTGTCTGAAAAGGTCCAGTCCTGCCAAATGAAACTTCAGCTTTGAAAAAAAGAAAGAAAGGAAAAAAGATGATTAATAGAATTCACATGTTGCCTACTTAATCTGCTTTCTTTGAGAAACCTTACATTGAACCAGACAAAAGAATCATGATGATAATTTCTGTGAAAGAACACTTACGCAGACTTACACTCAAAATTTCATCGTGTTTTCAAATCTACCTGACACCCCATTCTCAGTCCAAGTCAAGGTGCTCCTGAGACAGCACAAGAGGCGCTCACTGAATGAACAGCTCTGCAGTGAGAACTGATTTCCCTGCACTCCAGTTACAAAAAATGTTCTGTCTGAGACTGTTGCGCCTTCTTCCATTTTCAACAACATATCTTTGTGAAACGGCTTTCCAGCTTGTTGTTTATCATGTCTAAATACAGTAGGCTTTGCTCTTGCAAAGACCGCCTCAAGAATGTCCAATCTGTGAGAAAGAAACAGTTTCAACCTTTCCACTGAGGTTTGCTTTTTAGGCATACTGTTGAAAAATGTAGCAATGTAGTTTACTGTTGTAAAGACTGTTTACATTAAGACTGTTACCCATCATGCTTCAAGACAATTTCATTTATTTGTAATTGGAAATAAATATTCCACAATATATAATTAAAAAAAGAATCCTGTATTCATTTCCAATAGTTTTTAGATGTTCAACCTCTGTCTTAAGAATCCTGGATTCGTCTCTTAAAGACTCTACCAGACTTTTGTTGTCAAACCACTTAATACTAAGGAAAACTACTAATCCCAGAAGGATCCATAATGGGGTGCTGGACACCTCTTGTAGGATCTCCCACATGGCACACTCAAAAAGACTGTTAAAATTCTGAATGGTAATATTCCCAGATATTTTATTTATAAAAGGAAAAAAAAAATTACCTGTAATGACTGGTTCCTGCCAGAGGTGGCGAAAGAGTCCACTTGAGTCCATGTGGAGAGCCGGTCTGAAACAACTCAAAGCCAAAATTTATTCAAAGTGACCCCTTCCTTTGTGGAGGTTTGTGTTGTAAAACTGCAAATATTTAAGTTTCCGTGTTCAGCTCCAAACGTCAAGGCAGAGAGGGAGGGGCTAACTCCTCTGGCTCTGTGAGAGGAACAAAGCGCTGGCTGCGGGCAGCTCGGGATCTGCGGCAGCGGCCCCGGCCGGGCCTATGGCGGGCGGGCGAGCAAGTGGGCCTGCGCAGGGGCGACCGAGGGCCTAGGGCACGACTGCAGGCCTAGGGCGAGTGGACGGGCGAGCAAGCAGGCCGGTGCTGCGGCAACTGCGACCACCCAAGACCTGCTGTGGGCGCAGCGGACTAAAGGGCAGGGCAAATATGCCCGAACATTGGCGCACCAAAATGAAATGGCAGCTTAGATTAAAGTAGATAATTGTGTAGGTTTTTGCACAACTTTAATGAAAACAAGACTCATGAAACCAAGGTTCCAGCAAAGTACCAGAAGCAGGAATGGAAGCGGGGCTTCTGTGCACCCAATTTATCATTAAACATTTGCCCGAGGTGAGCCCGCTTATCCCTACATAGACCCGTCTCTATTATTGTGGTCCCATCCTCAGGGGTTATAATCTGGGTGGAGGAGAGATACAAGTCCAATCCTGCACTCCTTGGGGTGGCCCGGATAAGGGGTTTTGACATTGGTTCATCTCCCTTATATTGGGTATCAGGGTTTGAGCTGGCTGGAACAAAGTTGGTGAGTAAGGGCCCCCAACTGGTGCCCCTTTCCTATTTCCCTGAACCGCAGTAGTGGAGGCAGGGTTTAGGGGTTGCGCAATACATCAGCTTTGGATTTGCACTCACTTGCCCAATGTGCACCCCACTTGCATCGGGGGCAGAGTCCCGGGGGATCACCCCTTCTATTCCCAGGACCATTTTGATTATTCCCTACCATTTGTCGCGAGGGGCATTCCCTTGCAAAATGTCCCAATTGACCACAGATGAAACATGTCTTCCATTGGGGGCGAGAGTGTCCCCTTTGTCCCTGAAATACTGCGCCAATGGCCAGGCTGATTGACTTTGATAGCTGATGGCCAAAAGTATCTACCTCATTAAACACTTTAATCATACCAGAAACTTCAATGTCCCTCATTTTTCCCCTTAATGCAGCTTTGCATGCAGCATTTGTGTTTTCAAAGGCTAGTTGTTTGACCAAAGTCCCCTCCATTTCCTCAGGCCCCAAGATCCTTTTTGCTGTTTCTTGGAGCCGACCCATGAACTGGGCATATGGCTCCTGAGGCCCCTGAATGATCTTAGTGAGCGGGGTGGTAGAGCCGCTAGCGGAGGGAACTGCCCTCCAGGCTGCCAGGGCTGCCTGGCCTGTCTGCGAAAGTATTCCCAGTGACAATCCCGTTTGTTTCTCCTCATCTGCAAAATTACCCTGGCCAGCAATTTTATTAGCTGTCCAGGAGGCAGTCTGACTTAGTGGTTTTTTTCTATTGTTATTAGCAAAGGCCTCAGCCCTATCGAGAGACTCAATCTTCCAGGTTAGATATTGTCCTCTAGTTAACACTGACTGAACCACCCTGCCCCATTCTATGGGCAACATAAATCCATCCCCTGGTAATCCCTTCAATATGGGAAGAGTAAAAGGTGCATGTATTCCATAGTTTTTAACAGCTGAGTGAAGGTCTTTAATATGTTTAATTTTTAATTT